CCCCCCCCCCCCCCCCCCCCCCCCCAAAAAAGAAAAGCGTTAAGATCAATTCATAAACTAAATTCTAAACAATGTTCGCTTTCAACATAAAGATAAAAATTCTAATCAATGTTCCCAAAAAGAAAAAATGCTGTTACACTAGGATGTATATTTCAAACCCAATCCTGGAAAGACAAGATGATACCCCAAGCCTGGGGTACAAGTCCTAATTACTAAGTTCAAGTTACAGGTTTTGAATTTAAAACTCGTTTAGTTCAAGATTCATTTATAAGCTTGTGAATGAGTTTATAATTGCGTTCTCCTAGAAAGATGCATCAGAAGACTGAAAGCTGAAATTCCTTTCACTATAAATCGTCTGTAACAAAACAACTCTGATAAATTTATCTCTCTACATTTCTGTAACACTAGAACTGCCTGAAGTACAATGGATCACATCCTTCCCAGTTGTGAATTCTGTAACCCATCAAATCTTTCTACGTTTCTATGTCATATTAATCTGTTGTGTTAACATTATTCTTCCAGTTACATATGTTACAAAATTCAGATGGGTGTGGTCCATTTATCCCGCGAGGGGAAATAATTAGTGAACTCTAAGTCCTAGAAACTATGGTGAAATGACACAGAAAGCTGGAAAGAATAAGATTTAGGTGTAAAGAATGGATAAAGTGGTAAAGAATCAAGTCTTCTACAATAGCTGGACCTCATCTTATCCGCCAGACATGCAATGTTATACCAGAAGACTAGTGAGAAGTGGGCGCTCCACATCTCCATTCCTTCCAACCTTTCTTTTATCTCGATGCCGAGCTCTGCCATCAGAGAATTAGGAAGAGGATTAACAAATTGAAATTAAACAAGATAACATGCAGTTTTGACAGCATACTAAATTTGGCAAACAGATTGCACTGTCAAGTTGCAGACCTCTGTGTGAGGCAAAATAATAAGTTCCACTGGAGAAAGGATCTATCTGAGCAGTCCATTGAAACAAGCAAGAGCAACATGTTTTGATATGTAAAGCTCAGAAATCCTCCAAATAAAAAGATAAAATGACTGACAGCCTCACTGCCAGTCAAATATGTCATTCAGGAAACCATATTTAACAGTTACTCTCTGTAAACTAAAAAAACAATTCTCCTCGATGTAGTTTAATGAACATCCGAACTCACCAGTAAGTTTACAAGTCCCCATCACTTCCCAACTGCATCCTAGAATTGGACGTAACTATCAAACTAAATCACCATTAATATGACCCAATACAAGATTAAAACTGACAGAGAAACAAATAACCATACTTTTAGATGGCTTAAGAACACCTGAGCAACAAGTATTCAGCTAGTAAGTGCATTAAGCACACTCCACCCATTGATAAGCAACTGTGGATTCAACTTGTGTGTTGTTATTACAGGTGTTCATTGGCTTACTTTCTATCCAGTATATGCAAAAGGAAGTGCCACACGGTCAAAACCTCTAGCAAAAGAGGCAGAAAGAAAATTGAAAATTATGTATGCAGATGCTTCAGTATATTATACTAGGAAAGCTGATAAGACGTGCATTATACCATCAACATGTAGAAAATTGAATCATCTCACTACTATAAGCCTTAAGGAGAAAAAGGAAAGGATAATCCCAATTGACGTGGAAGAAAATAATGAAAGATTCATGGCCCAAAAGCTAAACTAGAAAGACACCCTCATAATGCCAGTATACTCAGTATCAAACAACACAATGTGCCATGTAGTCTCATATCAAAATTATGAATTATATAAAAGAATAAAAGCTTCTTTATTTTTCTGGTCTGCAAACACATATTTTCTCAGACATATACATCTAGGTATCTTTGTATTCTAGGTGCTAAAAAATAGCTAGGACTTGAAATCCAAACTCATGCATAGCTCAATCAGTAGTTTACTTTCTTGACAGCATGATAGATGTGTGAGAAATTCAAATCTCAGACTTGTTCACTTGTATAAAGCTTGTCCCTCGTGTGGTACTTGGCTTTTTTTGAGAAAACTTTACTACTCACCCACACACCAAAAAAGAAAAAGAAAAAAAAAGACACTGGCAGCATGACCACCTTATACATTGAATCCAAATTTGCACTTGAAGGCCACAGACAATGCCACAAGCTTTTCCTATCAAATTTGGATTATCCCATGCACATCTAGCGATTTTGAGATATTTGACATGAATAAAGCATCATAGAGACCTTACACTAGTCGATTGGAGCTCCATTGAAGCCGAATCCTCGTTTTCCTGCCACACAAACTTTCAAAAGTCATTACTTGGACACCAGTGTTGGTAGAATGTAGTAGGGGGATGGATGGCAATACCTCAATCAATAAATCCTTCCTGGTAATCAAGCCAATCACACGAGATGGCCGGGGTACAACAAATATATGTCTCAGACCCAGTTGGCGGAAAAGATTATATACCTGCATCATCAAGTGCAACATAAATCTAATGAGACTAGAACTATGTGACATGGTAAGAAACTAGGAAGTCTTAAATTGCAACGAAATTCTCGCCTTTGTCAAAGACATATCCTCAGGGACAATGTAAGGAGATGGGTTCAAAAAGGGGGCAAGATCTATGTACATTTCCAAGTCATCTGAACTAAGATGTACATCATGTATAGATAATCCTTTACTGGAAGCAGGTTTCACAAATTCACTTATAGTGTGCCTGCAGTACAGAGGATCTGTCAAAAATCTCATAGTAGAAGGGAAGGGCCAGACTACAAACCAACTTCAAGCCTCCACTTGCCTGATAGACCTGGATTCTCTTGGATCACATGGCAAGGGACTATGCTGGAAATCCACCTTTGACTGCAGAAGTACCAACAAGTGACTGCATCACAAACCGCATGCTAATGTTAATTTTTAGAACATTTACATTCTTCATACATGAAATCAGACGTAAATGTGAAATATATAAACACCATACCTACGCAGCATTAGTCCAATGACAAGTGTTTCTCCATTTCTTGCATGATCAATCACCTGAAATGAATATAACATGAAACACAAACTTATATATCAAACGATAGAAAGAGAGGGGTAGAGAGAGGGAGAGAAGAAAAAACAAAAGCATAACATACAGGGAAGCCATTATGGTTGTTGCTCCGCAAAATGGAAACCACATCTGCAACCTTAACAACACGAGGGAAGGAAATAACCTACACGGAAAGAAAATTGAGCACAGTGAGCTTACTATTACAATGAATAAAAACAAAAGAGTAAAGAAATCAATGCAGTGTGGATCGCCAGAGCACAGAGACCCATGTACAATAGGTTCAAAATGAAAAATGCATCAAACAAAATAAAGAACACGGTGTTGAACTTGAAATCAGAAAGTATGGGCATCCACTTTCATATGATAACAGAAGGTTTTTCTTTCAACTTTCTTCTCTGCCTTCATTTTAATGTTTTCCCTGTTGAGTGAGAACTGAACAAAAGGTTCCCTAGCTTCCAATTGTCAGTTATCTATCACAATGATATCACCCACAGAACCCATTTTCAAAAGATTCAAATCAATTTGGCCATAATCATTGGAGTCTAAGGTGGCTCATACTTGGGATAGGCGTCTTTGAAGTTGAATGGATCAGAGTAGGCAAGTTCAGGACAAGTGAAAATCTTTAGGCACATTTATACATGGGCTCCGTACTAATGTATACATATGAGGGGTCAGTCATGCTAAATATGCTAAATTAAAGTGACATTCACCCTTTTTCCAGAGGCCTCCTTCGCAGTCATCTTCCGCATTTGGTACTTGGGTCTTGATTCCAGTAGTGGAATGCTCCTTAATCGCGCCTGTTCTTCATACAGGCCTTCATTGAAAGCATCACCAACAGCCTGCAAAGCTAAAAGATTTAAGTCTCTCTCCACAGAGTCTATTAGTATAATACAAAGTTTCAGAAAGTGTACCTTTGAAATAAGAAGAACAAGCATGATAAGAGGCAAAAGTTTCAAATTATTGGTGATTTCAACCATAATGACACATAGAGACACTGTCATCCGCATTGAACCTCCAAGAAAAGAAGCCGCACCGAGTAGTGCATATCTGCAGAACCAGCAAGCATAAAAGTGCATTTAGTTCAAAAGCTCTGCTAGTAGTATAAAATGTAGCAGATTAAATCTGAGTATCAAAGATCATAAAGGCTCAAGAGACTCACGTTCCCTCTTCAATGTTGAGCTTCTTGTTGTAAACTTTAACAACAAACATGCCAACTAGACGCCCATACGTTGATCCTATCATTATCCCAGGAACAAATTGACCAGCTGGAACAGCTGTACCAAATGTCACAACTGCTAATGAATAAAACATAACCTGAAATGCATTAGGAAAACAAAGTCACGCAAAAATAAAATTCAAGGGAGCAATGAGAGAAAAAATCTATGGGAACTTAAATAGTCA